TAAATACTATATAGAATACTAAGTAAAAGTACTATATATAATACTAAATACTAAGTAAATATATATAGTACGAAGTACTATAATACTAAGTACTATATAAAATACTAAGTACTAAGTAAATATATATATAGTACTAATTACTATAATACTAAATACTATATAGAATACTAAGTAAAAGTACTATATATAATACTAAGTACTAAGTAAATATATATAGTACTAAGTACTAAGTAAATATACTATACTATATATACATATATATAATATAATATAATATACTAAAACTGTATATGTATTTACATATAAAAAAGAAAGTTAGGTTAGAAAAAGAAGATAGATTTTCCCCTAGATCCGAATACTCTTTTACAGTTTTTTTTTTTTTTTTAAATTAAACTATACAGTACAGTTTTAATATTAGATCTATCGGAAAGTTCTATCTGTTTTTTAAATAAAATAAAATAAATTGTTCATATCTTAAATAAACTTTATTGAATAATATAATTCCAATTATTATTTTCGACATCTTACCAACGTGATAGCAAATTATATATCCCATTTTTAAAAAATGTCTTATTTCTAGAGCTGACAAAATTAAACAAATGTTTTTCTGATGGAACAAAATACAAAGTTTCGTTCCTAACCTTACTTATTTTACTTTTTTGTTACTAAACTAGTCCTAATCCCCACTTCCTAATCATCAGATTTCTTTTTTACTTGTATTCACTCTCACTTTCATCCATGCAACTCCTTTCTGTCCACTCTTTAACGTTCTTCATGTGTATGTGTGTGCGTATGTGTTGTGTCTCTTTTCAATTTCACTATAAATTTTCATTTTTTCAATATCGCAAAAATTACTAGACGTTTAATTATTCTCACGTATCACTTGTGCTTCCTTCCTACATTTTTGTTTTCGTTAAATTTATTTTCTTGAAAAAATTTCTTTTCTTTTACTTTAGCTCGTTCTTTCTCTTTTAACAAATAGGGACTACTTTACTTTACCTAGAACGTTGGAAGGGTGAGGAGTAGGTTTCATATATACATGTAAACTATATACATATATTCATGTGTGTATATATATATATATATATATGTATGTATATATATGGGGAGATGTTTTCGCGTCTAGATTTCTGAGGTGGTTGAAGTTTAAAAAGCATTTTCCTCCGGCAACGAGGTAGGTACTACTGATAAAAAGAGCTTTCCACAGAGTATGGAAACTTAACTCTCGGCTGACTTCAAAGCAAGCTTTCTCTCTCTTTCTCTTTCTCTTTCTCTTTCTCTTTCTCTTTCTCTTTCTCTTTCTCTTTCTCTTTCTTTCTTTCTTTCTTTCTCTCTTTGCGATTTTCCTCGAACTCGATGATCGTTCCCACGACGTATGTAAGTATCTCTCTCTATCTCTCTCTCTCTCTCTCTCTCTTTCTCTTTATATATATACGTAAAGAGTGAAAAAGAAATAGATCCGATTTTGCAGATAAAATTCTTATTTTGACTGAGGTTTGCTCTTCTTTCTCTCTGTACACCTTTTTTTTTTTCATTTTTCTTTCCTTTCATTTTTTATTCTCTTCAACTCTTTTACGAAATTATTTTTATACGTAGATTTTTTTTATTTAATAATTATACTATGAATGTATGAAAGGAAAAAAATTGGTTTACTCAAAAAAATAATAAAAAAAATTATGGAAAGGATTAAATTTGAGATCAAATGTTACATACTTATGAAAAATTTATGAAAGAAAAATAAAAAAGAAAAATGTTTAATTATTTTTTTTTTATTACTATAATTAAATTAAATCTTTCGACTTTATTTTATTTGAATTTATTTTTGTTATATTCTTTTAAACTTGTTTTTTTTTTCTTCTTTTTCTTTACTCACTTTCTTTTTATTGAATCAGTGAAGCTTTGAAATCAAGCTTTTTATACTGCTTTTCTCATTTACATGGAAAAAGAGGGAGAGAAAGAGATAGATAGATAGATTGATTGATAGAATTAGGTTTATCAGACTAATGGTTTTAAATATATACAAGATGTTCTAGTTTCTTTTCTCGTAAAAATAAAAAAGAAGAAACGAATGTTCTTTCTTCATTTATCTATGGATTCATTTATCAAAAATTTATAAAAAAAAAAAAAATCTTATACAATATTTAAAAAAAACTAGGATACCTTGTATGCACAAATGCAACCCGTTTTACATTACTTCATATAAAATAATAATATAATTTATTTAAAAATAAATATAATTCATTTCTTAATTTGACTTAGAAAACCAAACTAGGCTTGTGAACTTAACTTGACCCAGGAAATTTAACTAAGCTCGTGAATCTAACTTGACCAGTGAACCTAACTTGACCTAGAAAACCTAGGAAACTTTGTTCACAAACTTAACTTGACCTTTCAACATAACTTGGCTCCTGAACATACTCGGTTTATGAATCTAATTTGTCCCGTAAATGTAACTTTAGTCGTGAACCTAACTTGACCTGAGAAACCTAACTTGAATCGTCAACTTAACTTTGTTCGTAAACTTAACTTGACCCGTGGACGTAATTGGACCCATCATCCTAACTAGGTACCAGAACATACTTAGTTTATGAATTTAATTTGACCCATGAACTTAACTTGACCCCAGAAACCTAACCAGGCTTGTGAACCTAACTTGACCAGTGAACCTAACTTGGTTCCTGAACATACTCGGTTTATGAATCTAATTTGACCTATGAACCTAACTTGACCCGAGAGACCTAATTGGACTCATGAACCTAACTTGACTCGTCAACTTAACTTTGTTCATAAACCTAACTTGACCCGTGAGCTTAACTTGACCAGTGAACCTAACTTGGTTCCGGAACATACTCGGCTTATGAATCTAATTTGACTTATGAACCTAACTTGACCCTAGAAACCTAACTAGGCTCGTGAACCTAACTTGACTCATCAACTTAACTTTGTTCCTAAACCAAACTTGTTTCATGAACCTAACTTGACCCGTAAACCTAACATTGCATATAGGTCAGGTATAAGGTCCCCATAAAGTATAACTCAAGTTGAAAATTGCATCAAAACGAAAATTGTCTTTTTCCGTGTATCAAGATGGTGTATAACCCTTTTTAAACGATTCAATTCTTTCAAATGGAAGATACGAAAAGGGTGATAGCAGAACAAATGGAAAATAAAAGAGAAGATAGAGCAAAAAAAAAAAGCAAAAAAAAAGTTTTCTGAAGGTATCACGAGTAGAACGAACATAGAAGATGACAAGGAAGACCAACATAGTCGTCTTTTCAGGTTTGTAATGGGAAAAGCCGATACGCATCACAGTGCGCACTTAGACCTGTTTATTCCCTAGGGCATTTATAATGCCGCTATAACTGGAGATATTCTCAACCATCTTTCTTCCTTTTCCTCTCTCATTTTCTCATTCTGAAAATAAGAAGAAGAAGAAGAAGGAAATGTAAAGGAAGATGGAAAGGGAACGAAAACGACACGAAAGGCAGGAAACGTGAAAGAGACAGAATTGTCCAGATGAAGGGAATTGAAAGTTAGAAGGGATGGGGATGGGTAGTAGTGTAGGGTTTAGGGTGTGAGGTAAAAAGTGGGAGTAACGGTGAGAGTTGGTTTGAGTGAAGGGGAAATCTTTTGAAAGGTGCAATGCGTGGTCTCAGTGAAACTCTCAGAACTGTCGACTACTACGACGTCTAACCTTCTCAGATTTTCTTTCCTTCTTCCCTTCTTCCCTTCCCTTCCCTTCCTTCCTTCCTTTCGTTTTACCCCTTTTTCTTTCTCATCACTTTATCCCTAAATAAAATTTTCTACCCATCACATGTTCCAACTTTTTCTTTTTTTTCTGTACCTTCTATTGCATCTTCCGTTTTATTTTCTTCTGCTTACTTCTACTATCTCTCGTGTATATATTTAAAAATATTATATATTTTGTACATGGATTCTGCCACTTGTGAATGCATCCCTTCTGATAAACCAGGCTGCGAACGATCCCTTCCGAAAAATCCCTTCACACGATTTCAAGCTTTATCCCGAGTTAAAATGTTTACTCGAACACCGAGAGTTTTACAAATGCACTAAAGACAAATTCTACTGGGTGAACTCAAAAGTTTGTATTCTAGATGGGTGTTGTTTATTTTTTGCAAAATTTTTATTCAATTATTCGAAATACTTTTGTGTGATTAATTTTGAGAATTTTTAAATTATTCCTATATACATGGTTAAAAGTATTTTATATAATAATTTAAATATAATATGTTTAGTAACCTATATAAAAACTATCGGAAAAACAAGAATAATTAATTTTCGATATTAGTTATTTACTTTCACTATATTTAATTCTAACCTATAAATTTATATAACGAATTGAATGAACTTTTTCTAATTAACTTTAACCATAAAGTTGAATATCATTTTTAAATCGTACAATTAATTGTAATAATAATAAAAATACATTTTATATGAATTTTCGATATCAGTCAAGTACTTCTACTGTATTTTAACCTATAAATTTATCGAACAAATTAAAAGAACGTTTTCTAATTAAATTAAAACCCTAAAATTAAATTTTATTATTAAATCGTACAATTAATAATAATACTAATAAATACAACATAAATAATTAATTTTTCGATATCAGTCAATTACTTTTACTGTATTCTAACCTATAAATTTATCGAACGCATTGAAAGATCTTTATCTAATTAATTTTAGTCACAAAATTGAATATCATTTTTAAATCGTAAAATTAATACTAATAATATTAATAATAAATAAGATAATAATATATGAAAAACATAATAATAATATAAATAATATACTTGATGAATTAAATTGTAAGGTATTATATAATTGATTTGAAGTATTCAGTTAAATACTTTTGGTCCACCCAGTACTTGAAAGCTCTTTGCTCTTTCATCCAGAAATCTTATCCCTTACTTTTCAACCTAACCCCCCTTTCCACCCCTCACTCTATTTTCTCTTTCTAACTATCATCATCTTTTTCATTCACTTTCTCCGCGTGCCTTATCATCGAGTACCTTCTTGTTTATATATTCTAGACTACCATTTCTAGATGTTCTATATTGATAAAGAAGAAGGTATTAAGTCGGTAAATCGTGGCAAACCTGGAAGCCTCTTCCAACGTTGATATTTATCGCTAATTGCTTTGACCTTTGAGTCTTTATTTCCCTTTTTCCAAGTTTTTCCTTTTCTTTATCTTTTTCTTTCATTCTTACCCTTTTATGTTTTAAGTACTGGAAAAACGTTGTTCATATATATATATATATATATAACTACATGGGTTATTACAGATATTTTTAAATAATAATAATATTAATAACAATTAAAAATAGATTTATTTTTAATTTAATTTCATTTTATTTTATTTTATCATATTATTATAATAAAATAATATATATATATTAATTATATTTAATATATTTATTAATAATTATTATAATACATATAATTATTATTATATACTATATATTAAATCTAATATATAATAATATTATTATTATATTTATTTTATTTAATTTTATTTATTTAAATAATAATAATAATTATTATTGTAGTTAATAATTAATAATAAAAATCGTAGAGTTTTCATTATAGAAAACGAAGTTTCAATTGATTACCAATCTCGTTGAACTTAATTATTATTACACATTTGAATTTGTATTAAACTAAATAGTATTACAAGTATAATTATAATAATTATTATTAATTTATTATATATATATATATATATATATATATATTATATTATATATAATTATTTATTAAAAGAATCAAAAAATATATTAATATATAGTATTATAAAATGGTGTCATTCAAAGTGTTAAAAATATTGAACCTGAACACACTAACATATGAAATTTTTAAACATTTCAATAATATTTCAAAATTAATACCAAAAAAAGCATTCTACTAACCTCAATGTATTTTTATTTTCTTTTTTTCAGACATTTGTACATACCAATCGTTGAGATGGGTTACAGTAAATATACAGCATCAATAACTGTCTTTTTCATCAGTGCATTCTTCCACGAGTATCTCGTCAGTGTACCTTTAAAAACATTTAAAATCTGGGCATTTTTAGGAATGATGGGTCAAGTAAGTATACTATTTAATTAATTTTAATATACATGTCTTATTTTTAACTGAAAACAATCAGAATATTCGGAGTAATTAATTCACTTAAATTATTACACATTTATTTATTCAAATTTTCAATCAATTTACCAATTATGATAGACGATATTGTTTATTTCTTTTGTAAAAAGTTTTACCAACTTTGTGGTTTTTAACAATAGTCCTCTTTCATGAACCTCCAACTCACATCACCCCCTTCACCCCTGTCTGCTTTCCTTTTTCGTTTCTTATGAATACTTTGTTGATGCACTCAATTTGGTCTGAAAGTTTTCTTCCACTCCATTCTTGTTATTTCAACCTTTCTAATAAAAATAAAAAACAAAAATAAAAATGTAGTATTTTTATAAATCATAAATAGATAATGATTATAATTAATATAATAATTAATGATTAAAAATAAAAATACATAATATTTTTTTTAATTTATCATGGTGGTTTAATAATGAATTATAATATTTCATATTTATAATTACAATAAAAAAATATAGTATTATTATAAATAATTAATTATATAAATAATAGGTGTGCCCTGTCACGCATTGCTGTGGCTCACAAACAATCCGATACACACGTCTTTAAGTCAACGAATTACCTTATACCGCCATCTTTTAGAATCTTATCGAACTAACAGAGATAATCATGACTCTTTGTTAATAAACAAATAATTCGCGATAAAATAATAATGCGATTATAAATTGAGATATAAACTATCCTATCTTTCAAGTTGGATGAAACTGCAGACAGTATGCAAAATTTTATTAGAATCGGTTCAGTAGTTTAGGAGTCCATTGCGGACAAACAACGTGACACGTAATTTATATATATATCAAGAAGAAAGATTAATAATTAAATATAAAAATATATAATATTGTTTTTAATTGATCATGTTGGTGTAATAATGAATTATAATATTTCAGATACCGTTGTCATGGTTGAGCAAAGTGGTTGAGAAAAATTTAGGTCCCAGATGGGGTAACATCGTCGTATGGTCCAGTCTCATCATTGGACAACCCCTTTGCATTCTGATTTATTATCACGACTATGTGGTCACTCATTTTGGTGAAACATTATTGGAGGATTATTCGATTGTAAATTGACAAAATTGACAGTCATCAGGAATTACGATTAGGAATATTTATACAACAACAAAAAATGTCAAGGAAAGAAAACATTTAAAAGAAAGAAAAAGAGAAAATGAGATTAATTAAAATATTTTTGAAAGAGGAGGATGGATTTTTCCAAAACTGTGAGAATTACAATATTTCTGAAAGAGAAGAACAGGGTTTATCCAAATTAGGAGAATTTTCCAAACAATGTTGCACAAATATAATTTGCTAAAAGTTTCATTGATTTTCGTATGATTACTTTGAAAAGAATCATCAAACTCATTCAGTCTAATTGGAATATCATTTTCTTCTTTAAATTTTTTTTTTTTTTTTTTTTTTTTTTTTTATCAATGCTCATAATTTTCTTGAAACAATTTATTTTTGGGTGATTTCATTTTATCAAATGTTGTTTCGTTTGATTTTAATTGATTTAATTAGGTTTTATCAAACGTAATTAATCTTGTTTTTCCCCCAATTTTACAATGAAAATTTGTTCTTCTTATTTTATAAAAATCGATTGAAAAGGACATATTTAATACTCTTCTATTTTATTCTTATTAAGATGTGTTTATTATTTCAATTTTAATTTTTTCAAACAGATTTGACATCTGTTAATTTAGGATTTCTAAAACTTGATCATGTTTTACGATCCGATATCCAAGATTTTGAGTTTGATTCTGATTCAGACTTTGTTAAACAAAAAGTACGAATTTTTTGAGTACTAATTTTTGTTTTGAATTAAATTCAGCAAAAGTAAAAGTTTGTTTTGCGAATCGTTTGATTTTTATTTTACTAATACTACGATGAACCTTTTACAATATGCCCAAATCATACATGGGTTTTTCGTTCTAAAGATAATTTTCTATTAAAGATAAATCACATTTAAATTTAATTATAATTTTCACGATCAAAAGACACCCAAAAATAAAAGTTTTTAAATACAAAAATGGTATCAATGAAAAATTCAAAAATTCTCTGCAATTCTTTTCAAAGAACAAACAAACAGACAGACAAACAAACAAACAAAAACAAAAGAATATTAAGTATAAACAAATAGAAAAATTTTGATGATAATATACGAGTGCCTTAAACGTATCGTCGTTTATAATTTTTTTTTTTTTATCTTGCCTATAACCATTTTTTTTTTTTTTTTGTAAAAAACAATTCTTATATATTCTTTTTTTTCAATTGAAAAAATTATTACAATAAAAAACACAATGCGTGAGGTATAACAAATCGATTCTAAAATAAAATTTTACTTTAGATATTTTTATTTATTTTTTTTTTTTTTTTACGAAGAACGTGCAAAAAAAAAAATTAATAACAAAAGGTGCATATGTGTGAAAAAAAAAGACATAGAATGAAATAGACGAGCAGTTTCACAGTTTAATTAAATTTTGTTCTTTTTTGTTTTTTTTTTTCTTGAGAATTACCCAAGAAGAAAAAAAAAAAGAAAATAAGATATAACATGACAAATGAATATGCAAATGATACGCCATATTGAACATCATGGCGGACACTAGAAATGTTTCGTTAATGCTACAACAACGCTTTGTATTTTCTATGGAAATAATTTTTACTTACTTGATTTCATAACGCGCCATCTTATAATACTAATTGAAAAAAAACACTTTGTATTATTCTTTTTTTTTTACAAAAGGTGTTAAACAATTTTGCAATAACGTAGATGTTTTTTTTTCTTCTTTCGAAAACGACGAAATCCGAAGATAATAAATCACACACACATGAACAGACAAATATGTGTTTTAGGTATTAAAAATGTTTGAGTTTGTGCTTTTTTTTCCCTTCATTTTTTTTTTTTTTTTTTAACAAAACTAATCGCAGAAAGTATTTTATTCGTAATTAAAAATGAACAAAAAAAAAATAGATTACATTGTTACAACACTTTCGTCGTTGTTTAAATGCGAACAAATAATTTTACATATTTTATACATACACGTGCTAAGATTTTTGCTATGAAGCTGCCAAAAGTTTTTAAGTCCTTCATTTTGTACAAAAAGTTGGCACAAAAGTTACTAAATAATTCATACAACTCATATAATGTTTCATTCAATTTTTACAGCTTTCTTATCACCCCCTCCCTTTGCATTTTTATAAATTAAACTTATAT